GTTTTAAGAGAAAATTTAAGATTATTAAAGTATATCTGTAGTAATAAAGCTGTCAGATAAAATCACTCTTATTGTACATCTGATATCTTAGTACAGCTCTAGCATATTAATATTCCCTACCCAAAAGTCTAATCTGGATGACCTCTCATTCTTGTTTAGATATAAAATCAGCAATAGGTGGTCATAGCTCCTAGAGTAATACTATGCCAGAAAGTGTATCATATCCAAACAGATTTCATCTACATCAAGTGAAAATCCCCTATGTGTTACTTTCCAGATCGCGAGCATTACCTTTACAAATTTGCATGCTGTTGCAATAATGTGTTAAAGAAAACATCTCTTTTTTTTCTTTTTTTTTTTTTTTTTCAACAGAAGGGCATAACTGGGGCTTAAGATGTGCAAAAAGGACAGCTGTACATCCTAAATTATCCATAACTTATTTCTGGATACAAATATTGTCTCTATTTTAGAAATAAATTTTGCTACAACTTTTATCTATATTTTTCCTTTGTTTCCTCATGAATGGTAGTAGGGTCTGCTATACTAGTAGCACTTACATGCATCAAATTTATGACTCTGATACTGTTCACTACTCTATGTATCTTTTGTGAATGGGTTTCATGATGGGCTTCACTTCAGTTCACTTCAATTTCATTTGGTTCAATGATTTGACTTAAAATTTGTAGAGAATACTTTTGTACCCTGCAGTTTCTCTAATATATTTTTTTAACTGTTACCCTTATATTAAATGACAAACTAGGGTGTGATTAAGGTAGGATTTTAGTCTAGGTCATGCTTGTAGGGTATAATAAATTACTGATACCACATATATGTAGATTATCCTGATGAGTTTTTTCCAGTCTGTCCTGTGATTTAAATCTATCCTTCAGCCAGCCAAAGATCCTGCTCTTATTTTGGTACTTTGTCTGGACTGCTCTGCACAGCAAACACTTTAGGTCTCTCTAGTTCCTCCTGCTCAACAGTTGAAATTGGCCTTCATTTGAATCAATAAAAGTTTTATCATAGACTTTATTAACACCAGTATTGACTTCTTGCAGACCCAAGTCTGTGCTAAGCAGACACATTCAATTTATCCAAAGAAAAGCTGTGAGGTGGGAAAAATATATACAAAGAAAAACCATTTAGTCTTTCATATAATAAAGTATTTCAGGTTTAGTAGTCTGACAAGCAAAAAGTGCTAATATGTATTTTATTGATGCTATGTCTCCAAATTATCTCATCTGACCTACACAGAAGTGAAACAACTGTTCTGATAATAGCTTATAATATTTTAAATGAGAGCAAAGAGAAGAACTTTTTGAGCTGAAATTGGAAGAAATTTCTATTGAAGAGTTTAAATTTGTGTTTGTTCCTGTTATAAAAGGTTATATTCCTCTGTTTCAGAAACTATTGTCATTCCAGACAGTGAAGACCTTAGGTTTAACTGTCATCTAAAACCAGCACCTAACATAGCATCCCCTGAAACTTTTGCACTAAAGATTATTTAATGAACCAAATGGCAGATCCTCAGTTATTAAGACTTTAGCATCTCTTATTGCTTTGTTGAATCTTGCTTGAAACTTTTGATGAAAATACTAACCTAAGCCAGGCATTGTTAGTTTTCAAAAAATGACAGGATCACAGCATCAACAGTCACTAGATTGGCATTTCCATTTTTATTTCAAAAGTTGGAAAAAGAAGCATTCAAGGCATGTAGCAATGTCTTCGTTTTGCCCAAGACTTCCTAGGTGAGCAGCCCAGCACACATGAAGTGACTTGGAACTTGAATTTTTCTAAAAGTTCCAATGACCATTTACAACTGCATATTTAGTGACCCACATCCTCCATACACCTGGCCATGCTGTTTTCGGTGTGCTTAAAATACCATCTCATTTTCTATCTAAACCAAAATACTAATGTCCTAGATCGGCAGTAATTTACTGATTCAATCTATACTATCTGATGGTTTCACTGAAAACGAGGACCGGCTTGCACTGTGACAGCGTATCTCAAAATTCTTGCATCTTGCCTCTCCGAGCATCCTATGAAACGCTGAACATTATCTCATACTTCTGTGATAACATCTTCTGTAAGAGCAGGTAGTTACACGGGTTTTGAAACACCCTGTATATGGAAGGCGGGTCAGTTTTATTGAACTGCTCCCTAAGCTGTTCCCTAAGTATTCCTTGGTCAGATCTCTGATTGAAGATAGCAGTAGGCAACAAAGGGATAAAATTACTCTTGTATAATCCTACTGTGAATTTTTAATATAAAGTGCTAATACTTTTTCCGGTGTTCCAGCAGAATTACAGCACTTCTCAGAGTAGGCCTGGCCAATATCTGATTGATTCTGGTCTGTGAGGATTGGCCCGGTTCAGTATAATTTCCTGTCTTGTTGCCTTCTTTTCTATTAGAGAGGGTGTGGGTTCTTGGAAATCAATAGGCTTACACATGCAAAATGTGAGGTTATTTTCTAGCAACTTTCATTGTTGTCTGTAATTTATAGAAAACGCTATTTTCTCCTCTGAATGTGTCTATGCACCTTTTTTTGGCAGACTCCAAATTCCACCAAAACAACTACCCATTTAAACATATCCCCAAAGTACTCTTGAAGGAGAAGATGTACATTATTATCTGTGAAGATGCCAAAGATGCTTAACACATACAAATATAGGATCTGCTAGTTAAAATGTACATTTTTTTGTTTTGTACATGGAGTCCTATTTGTCTCAGCAGAATTGCCAAAGCTATGATTTATCCTAAAATGGACATTCATGTTCTATTTAATTATAATAGAGATTTAAGCATCTACTAATCTATTTCCTTTAACCTTGTGAACTTTGGAAAGAAGGTAGCTAATGGTGTACAGTACGATAACTTTATAAGATATATGTTTCTAATATTTTTCTCATTCATTACAGAAATTGAAGCAAACTGAAGAAACAAAAGAAGATTCTCAGACTAGATTATCTAAAATTTCCCTGGAGTCTCTCAATAAATTTAACAGCAATACCGTACTTTTATTAGAAACAGAGAACTGTCTGAATAAGGGTGAAGGACAAAAGGAAGAAAATGGAAAGAAAGAAGAAGCTTCCTTAAATAGCTCCGATAGGCACGACGTGGACAATTTAGAATCCTTGAGTGATTCTTTGTATGATAGCTTCTCCTCTTGCGCCAGCCAAGGCTCTAATGATGTATAAAGACACTTTCCAGTGGGCTGTGAATGGAGCACTTACGGAGCGAAAGGCAAATGGGGAGAGAGGGGGGAGAAGAGACACTTGTTGAAAATCCTCACTCCAGATCGCTGTACTCACAGCGGGGTATTCCTGACTTTTTTTCTCATGACACAGCAATAAGAAAGGCAGGACTGCATTCGCCGCGATGCAGGAGACTCAACGCTGAACACAACAAATGGTTCCACACACAAAAAAAAAAGTCTTAATTTTGCACTTTTCTGAATATTTGTATAGATGTAAATATGTGGGGAAAATATATTTGTAGGGAGAAATGACAGCAATAAATATTAAATTGGTGCTATGCTCCTGTAATGGCAGATTACTAACTTAAAGAACTTGATGTTAATATTAACAAGAAAAGTTGGTAGATTTTTTAAAAAAGATTTATAATTGTTCTAGTCTTAAAACTGTATGTAGAAACACTGCGTGACCATAAACCTGAGCCTGCCAAATCGTCTGTAATAAACTTTCTAGGAATCCCTTTTATGGAACATTTTTTATTTTTCATTTTTAGTGCAATTCCATACTCGTGTTCTAGGGAAATGTGCATTTCGGTTACTACAATGTCACAACAGATGTCTTATTTCAAAAGGTTTTTGACTTTTGACGTGGCAAGAAAATGAATAGATTAAAAGGCCTGATACTGCTGGCACTGACTTCATAAATCATCTGCGTAACAGTTTGAAAGATCAGGGCCGGAGTAATTCACTGCTGACACAAATGGGAGGCTTGTTGAATGGGAACTACACAAGCCTCTTTAATTCTGACAGCAACAAAGTTTCTCTACTTCTGCCTCCTCTGTAATTATTTCCTATCAATTTCTGAATGTAGCATATTGTGCTATCCTTTGTAGTCCCCGTTTGGTCTTAATTAAGTCGTAAATGCTAAATAATTTTTCAAAATTGGAACTCCGCTCCTGTTTGTGGTACGTGTAAGGAGGATGTGGGTGCTAGCCAGCGCCAGCTCCAACATATCTCGGAGGATTGGGGTGTCTCAGTTTTGTTTTTCTACAGAGGCTGTTTATATGTAAGGGAAAGTCTATTTCAAAGGTTCCGTGTATTTTTTCTAGATGTGAAGTATTTATAACTGCTTTTTGTACAGTGATCTGTAAACTAGATATATTTGGGATATTTCTAGACTCGACAGTTTCTCTAGCACACGCCTGTTAATCTTTGAAACGATATTGTATCATCAGTGTTAATACTTTGTGCAATTTGCTATATTTTAAGTAATTTCGGCCGTAAGCTCGCATTGTCTTTTTCGACTTTTCAGAAATTTTCATCGAGACGTCTTTCTTAAATAAAACCTCCTCTTGTATAAGTGCCTCTGGTGGCTGTGTACAGTGCCTGGGGGGGGGGGGGGCTGGCCGGGGGCTCCCTCAGCGCGGTCCCGTAACGGCCGCGGCCGCTCGCGCCGCCTCAGCCGTGCCCGGTAACGGCTCCCGCCAACGGCTCCGGCCGCTCGCGCCGCCTCAGCCGCCTCGCCCCGCCAACGGCTGCCGGCCCCGCGGCTCCCCGCCGCTCCCTCCGTGCCTCCGTCCCTGCCTCCCTCCCTCCTTCCCTGCCATCCATCCCGGCCGCCCCGCCCCGCCCCGGCACAGAGGCGTCAACGCGGCCGTTTGGGGGCAGCGGCGGCCGGCTCCGCACCGCCCGGCAGCCCGCGGCCACCCGCGGCCGTTCTCTCGCCCGTCACGCTCCGGTCCCCGCCGGAGGGAGCGGGACACGCGTGGGGCCGGCCCCGCTCCGCCACCTGTGGAGGAGGAGGAGGAGGAGGAGGAGGAGGAGCGGGGCTGAGGGGCTCGGCGGCAGCGGGGCTTCCTCCTCCCTCTCTCAACTTTCCCCGTCGGCGCTCCCCGCCCCGCTCGGCTCGGCGGCATCACATGGTGCTGAGGGAGGGAGAGAGGGAGGGGGGGAGCCGCCCCCCAGCCCTCGCCTCTCGTACGGCTGCCGCCAGCCTCGGCGCTCAACTCCGGCGGGGCTGGAGCGGGCAGGCGGGCAGGGAGGCTCCCGGGGCTCCTGAGCGCGGCGCAAGGCGGCGGGGAAGCGGCAGCAGCGCTCCCGGGGCGCCTCCCTCCCGCTGATGCCCCTTCGCGACCGCTGCACGCCAGCCCGGCGGCCGCGGCTCCGGGAGGATGCGGCTCTTCCTCCTCGCCGCAACTTTCTGGGGATTGTGCCTGGGTGCAGGTAAGGGGCTGCCCCCCCTACACACACACACACGGAGGCGCCCCGGCTGCCGGGCGAGGCACCCCGACGGAGCCGCGCGGAGCTCCCCGCTTGCCGTGCCGAGAGCGGGAGGTGAAGGATGCTCTGCGGCTGTAATTGCGCGTGGCAAAACAGTAATTAAACCGTTTGCACCGGATTAGGGGGGAAGGAAACCCGGCGGCGTGGATCAGGGGTCCCTCTCCCTGGAGCCGGGCGGTTCTGAGCTGAGGGCACTGTGCGGAGCTGTGCTGGGTCCCCGCCGGGTCCCCGCCGCCTGCTGGCGGCTGCCGCCCGGCGGAGCGGGGCACGCACCTGCCCGCCCTCCCCGGAGCCCCCCGGAGCGGAGCCGGCTCGTAACGGGGTGCTGAGCGCACCGGGCATCGCCTCCGGGAAGCAGGAGACGCGTTGGGTGCGTTTTGGTTTTGCCGAAGTCCCACTTGAAGCTGCAGAGCTGTTAAGATCAGTGAAACGCAGAGAGAAAGGGATAAGCAGGACTTCTGCCACGCATTGGGTTGCCTCTAATATTATTACTATTCTGAGCAAACCTCTGTCTGTTCCAGGTTTTGGTTTGCAAATACAGTGCTACCAGTGTGAGGAGTTCCAGCTGAACAATGACTGCTCTTCTCCAGAGTTTATTGTGAATTGTACAGTGAACGTTCAAGATATGTGTCAGAAAGAAGTCATGGAGAAAAGTTTTGGTAAGAATGTCATGATTATGCTCCTGTTTATTGGCGTTGGGCAGGATTTGTTGCTTCTTGCTCCACCCTTTCACAGTCTTCAGCTGCAAATAAATGTGGTATTCCCACCGAGAGACTTCTGATTCAATTTCTTACACTTCAGAGTGACTTTGCAACTCAATAGAGTTAATCATTTCCCTTTAAAACTGGTGTCAAAACTGAAGGATATAAGCCAAATGTTGATAAAGCTGTTAATGCTCAGTCTTACAGGTCTCAGATTTAGTTTCCCAGCACTGGGAAATTAATAACAACAAGTTAGTTTAATCTCATTACAGTTAATTACATGGCTTTTTTCCCCAAGAGATGTAAGGAAAGAGCATTAAATTAATAATTCCCTCCTTTCTTTTATTTACTCTAGCAATTCATATACTCTGAAGGTTTATCTTAAGGGAAGGAAAGTTTAGTCATCTTTGCTTTCATCCATAAAAGAAAACATCAAGCAAAAGGGAGAGAAGAATATACTGAACAATTTTTTTTTAATTTTTTTTTTTTTTGAGTTCGGGGCAGAGTGGGAGGGCATAAATGGATGTATTTGCTATGCTCATTTTCTAAGTCTAAGGAGGTTTTTCCCTTACTGTAATTAATATTGAGTTAGCATATTTGGAGATAAATGTGTTCACAAACCAGCTGTGATTCTGCTTTTCAACCGTATTGTCTTTTGAGCTGTGCTAGAAATTGCTATTTTATTCAGCCTCATGGAAGAAATCTGAGATTTTTAGAGAGCTGCCTTGACTCTCAGAACACCGTGTTGCTCTGTAGCTTTCTGCATGTGTAGAAGACTACAGCTTTATTAGGGACTTTGGGGCTGAGTAGATGATGAGGAAATGTGTTTGCTGGAGTTTCTGTATCATCCTGCTTTTCCTGCAAACAGAGATTAAGGTGTTTTTAGGCATTAGAAGGGTAAGATAGCAACAGCACTGGTACGCTTCCATGTAGATGTGACCCCTGTACCAAGTGGTAGGCTTATGGAGCAAAAGGCAGGACTGGACTTAACCATGATTTAAGGAGAACTTGCTCTCTGTAGCATAACAGCTTGCAGCCGAGGGTAATGCTTTAGAACACGGACGTTACTGATGTAAAGGACTGTTATGCTGTTCATATAAATCCAGCTGAAGTATGTCCTTCCTCAGCGAGTCGTTCAGGGACAGGGGAGTCCCTCGCTTCCTAGCAAATGTGTGCAGCCTCTGTCTTGAACTGTAACATTGGTTCTTTTGCATTAGGGAACCATTCATCAGTATTTTCAAGGTGCTTATCAATTAGCTAGTGCTGCTTGTGCTGGTAGCTGCATTACGAGCAATATGAAAATACTAGCAGTTGTTAACTGTTCAGCAGTAGCTGAGCTGCTGGCACTTTGTATCATCCTGGGTAACATCATGCACAGTGCCTGTTTCTGTACAGTATTCAGAAGCTCTCCAGTGTAGAGAAAAAGATGCATGTTTAAAGGAAGATTAGTCTTCTTCAAGCTGTATTTTATTGGAGTATTTTATTTCAAGTTTACTTGTAAAAGATGGTGATGATGTGAGATAGTTATGGCTTGCTAGGTACTTTGAAAGTCTCAGCATCTCTAAATGAATATTTGAAGGTTTTGCTATCTGCACACCAAAGATTCAATAATAATTTTAATCAGTCTGAGCTGATGCTGTGGAGGTTTGAAGTGCTGTCAATATAGTATGTAGACAAATGTAAAAATACCTGTCCTTTACAATAGACAGTTGTTCTCAGTTAATTCTTAACATTTGTGTGCGTGTTTTCATATTTTTAAATATCTTCCTGGGGTCCTTCATGTTTCAATTCAGTGCTACCTCAGAGTGTGTCAGCCTTCCAGGAACGCTGCTGTAATGTCTTCAGGTGGATGGTAGAGGAGTGTTTTCAGTCAGGGGAACCACTCGCATGTTGAAGCGCGACGCTTCTGGATAAGCGTGCTGCACATGTGCGTGCGCACACCTGCGGGTGTGTTGGGAGACAGCCTCTTGTGTGCCACATGTACCGGGGTTAGGCGGTCATGCTCCTTCTCACAGAGTAGCAAACAAGACTGCAATCTGGCCAGTGTGGCTGTGACACACTGAAAATGCTAGTTGAAACAGTTTTAATAGATTTTAGACATCCAGAGATGCATAACAACTTGACCTTACTCCTACGAAGAAATTGATTTGCAAGTTGTATTTTTCTTTTCTGTGCAATTTTATACCATCTCTGGGCTGGTACTTGGATTTTCCCTTTAGGAGATAACTAGCATGCTGTGCATAGCAGGTACTACTGTTCTATTTTATTTAATTTACTTCTGTAAATGCAGTCCTTGTTCATTTGAAGCTGCGAGATTTAAATTTATTCACAAGCTGGAATTTACAATTTTTAACCTAAGTATTTCAAATTGAGTGAAATTTACATTGTGAGCATAGTTTGTTATTCTCAGTCAATTCTAGAGAGAATGGGTTGTAAAACTGATATGATTCAGTTCATCATCCTTTATTGTTTTTATTCCTAATTGATATTTAAATGTGCGTAATATAAATGCCTTATTCTCACAAGTTTTATTTAATAATTCATTCTACTTCTACCAATACATCTCATAACTTCGTGGGTTTTTTCAGTTGTTGCTTATCACTGAAAGCTGAAGTGTTTCAAATATTGATTTTAATTTATAATAGATTTGAGTTCGAGTTTCTAACCCAGAATATGAAAGATGAGAATTTGCATTTATTTGACAATGCAATCTCATAATTAGAGTTTTTCCTCTTGACTAGATACAGCCAAAGGAGTGTAATTTAATTTTTATAGACTAACCCACTTTTATCCTTAGTAAAATATAGCTGTGTCAGTAAGCAAAATGTTAAGTTCTTCTAAACCATATTTAAAAGTTGAATGTGATATATTGAGGTAGAGTTCATGGTCTAAATGAGTAACCTACTGATCCAGTCACCCGGCCTTTGCAATATGTATCAGTCTGGTTAGCAGTGAAGGGGGTCGCCCCCTTACATTTTGTGGTGTGCCTACAACACAGTCCCCAGCTTGTAGCCAGTGACTTTTTCCTGGGGCACTTGTTAGTGCCTATTTAGTCACACAGCAACACTTGGATGGTTCAGCCTCAGTTCTGTATTAAACTTCTGTAAGCAACTCAGTGGAGAACTTTGACTATGCAGTTTTTTCATTTATGTTGTAAATTATTCCTTATGTCCAACTGTAGTTAAACAAACCACCCTTCTTCATTTGCTATAAATTAGGGTTAGTGCTTCAAATACTACTATTTTCTCAGAACATTTTCCCAATTTCTGGAGAGCCAATCTCACAAAGCGTATTTCAGGTTCAGGTGAGACAGAAGTAACAGCAGCTTAGACACATTTCTAAGCCAGTGCTTCAAAAAGCAGCTATTATTGTGACAGCCTCTGATGGGAGTAGCTCAGAATGCAGGTATTTGTCACTTATGTTTTGAATCAGATAGGCGGGCATGGTATCCCAGCTGTTGGTATTGTTGGGTAGAAACTTGCTTCAGTGCACAACTTAAAATGAATTGAGAATCCAGCAGTAATTAAGTATGTACCTGAGTGATAACGTGGAACTAGGATAACTCTGTCTCCCCTGCAAAGATGCGCTTTGCTATGGCAATTTATTTTTAGTTGCACTTGGGGATTTATCAGTGCACAGAATTAGAGACTTTGTCAAGTAAATGACAAAATATTTTTCTCACTTTAAGCAGAGTTTTATTTAAAATTTTTGCTGGCATAAGTTTTATGCAGTTATGCTAATGTTCTGCTGCAGTGGGATAGACAGAAGGACAAGATTTTGCCTGTGAAGCAGAATCTTACAAATTACTTTGTTAATTTATTATTTGTTTTTTAGAGATTAAGTTATCGGTGCTTTTTACTTTTAGAGGGAAGAACGGTGAACATGGGATGTGGCACTGAAGACTACACCAAGTAACTTTTGTCCCGTAGAAAGTAACATAAGGGATAAGTTTCCAGTGCATTTAGCTGGATATGCTGGTGTTTGAAAACAGTATAAATGAAATGTTTGACAAAGGATCAGAATTCTTGCTTATAATAATTCCACGTGCAGATACTTTGTGGAAATACCCATGGCAGACCCCTTCATCCTGCTTGCCTCTCTCCTTTCCCTCCATGGGCTTTTAACTCAGAAATTTCCATGCTGCTGCATTTTAGAATGTAAGTAGGGACAAAGAAATCCCATGGTGTACTGGGATCGGATGAAACATCTTGATGATACTTATATGAGTCTATAATATATATGTGCTTTTATACATACGTCATAGAAAACCTAATGTTTACCTTTTACTTAGGGCAAGAGCTCAGCCTCTGAGCATTAAAGCTGATCTAAAATCTACTTAGGGCAAAATGAAACTTGCAATATGAATAGCTCAGAAAGGACTTGAGCTTGAAGGATGAGACCATCAACGCAGAAGGCAGCAAATGCAAATTTCACAGACCTTACTGTAAGTAAACCTGCCTATGTAAATGTTCTGAACAGTATACTTTGTGCTGTAATGTAGCAGTGAACATACTTTCACAAAATATCTTTCTTAGTATGGGGGGGGAAGGATGTGCAATAACAAGGCTGATATTTTATAACATCTGTATATATAAAACTAAGATTGTTTATGAATTTCCCTTTGCAAATGAATTGGAAAACAAGCTCATTGCTTCTATTAATCTACAGTAAGAAACTTCTTATTTGTTTGGTTTACAATGACCTTTCTAATGTATTTACATTGTATGTAATCATCCTGCAATGTAATTAAAGCAATTACTGTAATTGTATGCTTAAGAGTAGTGCATGGGAACATCAGGAACAAGATGATCATCTCACTGTTGTAATTTTTTTTTTCTTTACTTTCTTCAGTATTGGTTTCCAAGTTACTTGATTTATCCAGCAGAGGAAAGCAGTGTCTTAAGTTGTGCCGTGATTTGGCCTACGTTAACTTTTCTACTTATGATTTATTTATTTTT